ACAATTATACATGCACAATTCAGTTAAATAAAAGATAATATTTTTATTATTTTCTTTCTTTTTTTTTAATTATTTTATTTTTTATTATTAGTGATAGTTTTTTAATAAGGCACCTGGCCTTCTCCTGTTGCACCGATCGTTGTTATACTGTAATGAGGGAATCGTTGGATTGTTAACTTTAACAATGTTTGCATGGAATCTCTTTTTGCAATTTTCATCATAGTCTCAATTAATTGAGGTGTGTTCGTTTCACTGTGAAGAGCTTCATTTCTTATGTAGTAAGTGCTGTTGGTAATTTGCCTAAGTGTGATGTTCTGAAGTCTTAACAATGTAGCCCCAAACTGGGCAGGCATAAGTAATTATTGGAACAAGCATGGCTTTATAAATGAGTAATTTTTAGCCTAGAGCTAAAATGCTGTTTCGAGTGATTAGGTGGGTGAAGTGTTTGTTTACTGACTCAAAACTTCGTTATTATGTGTTTAGTGTGGGGCTTCCAAGTGAGTCGCTGATCAAGTATCACACCTAGGTATTTAACTTCCTTGGCCCAGTGAATGGCGGTATTATAAAACACGAGGTTTCCTTCGATTTTTCTTTTCTTGGTAAACATAATAGCAACAGTTTTATTAACATTGACTTTAATTTTCCACTGGGAAAACCAGAGTTCGAGTGTGTGGATGTGGGTTTGTAACTGTTGTATACCTGAGCTAGAAGATGCAATTCGTCCGCATACATAGCAAGTGTTGTGTTATGCATATGTGGGTTATTGTTCGTATACAAATTGAATATAAAAGGAGCGACGAGTGAGCCTTAAGGCGTGCCGGCACTAATTATTCATTTAGTGGAGTATGTTTGATTTATACGAACGATAAAGTGTTTATCGGTTAGATAGGAATAGAGCGTTGTTATGATGTATTCTGGGAATCCCAGAATCATTAATTTGTAAATGAGTCCATCGAGCCAAACATGGTCAAATGCCTTGGCTATATCTAAGAAAAATGCAGCTGTGCAGAATTTATTTTGGAGGCCAGATGAGATACATTCAGTTACTCTGAGTAGTTGATGGCACAGTGGAGTGTTTGCTGCAAAATCCATATTGTTGTGGAATAATGATTCCTCTATTATCAGAAAATTTTTTAATTTCTTGAAGAGTGATGTATTTAGCAATTTTACTACATGAAGGCAAAAGACTAATTGGTCGATAAGCTTTTTGAAAGAAACTGAGTGCTACTGGGAGACGGGCGCACGGGTTTTTGATAAAAAAAAAAAAATTACGTTTGTCGGCAGATGATGATAGATACAACTTATGAAAACCTATTGCTGGACCAATGATTTATGATAAACCATAGTTTCAGCACTGTAGTGTTTGACGGTATTTTCCTTTAAGGTACAACTCTAATATACGCCTTAATTTCACCAAATGTGGCGATATGTGTTCTGCGCTGGTTTTTGGCACGATTGCATGTTCTATGGCAACCCTGTTGACGTTGAAAAATCTTTCGCTGGAGCTCGTTGATTCGCCTCTGTGTCTGAGAAGATGGGAGGGAAAGATAAAATGGTAGTTGTTGAATTGAAGTTCGGCAAAAGGAAATATCATTGTGGCTATCCTGTTGAGGGGTAGTGGGTATTTGGAAGTGTGGAAAGAGGGTCTGGGAGATTATTTTTAATGGCAGTGCATGATAGAAGTAGGGATTTGTGATTTTATTTATTTGTGAACCATAGTATAAATTTTCTGGATAGTGTGTCTGGCTGTCATGTAAATACGATAGTGATTACGTGGCGGCATGTTAAAGGCGGCATGAAATTTATATTTCTGCTATTCGAAAACGCATTAATTCATGGTAAGTGCATTTTATTTTATCCTTGTTCTTATTTTGTAGAATGTTATGTTCATTGGTTCTTTTTAGTATGAAATTTATGTCGTTATTGTTGTTTTTTAAAATTGTTTGAAATTTATTTTAGTTTATTTTTGTTGTTTGTGCGCAGTGTCTAGACTGTGCAATTCGTAGAATTTTTTTTAAAGTTTAAACAGGATGCTTGTGTACATGGTATTCTTTGAAATTTATTGTTGTTATGTTATTTTATTAAAGCGAGAAGTGCATAGATCGTAGATTCCTTCCTTGCCTAAATTGTGCAATTCGTAGAATTTTTTAAAGTTTAAACAGGATGCTGTGTACATGGTATTCTTTGAAATTTATTGTTATGTTAATTTATTAAAGCGAGGTGTACGTAGTTTGTAGATTCGTTCGTTGGCTACATTGTGCCATTCATAGATGTTTTTTTAAGTTAAAACATGTCGCCGGGTACATGGATTCTTGTCAAATATTTTTGATTAGATATTTTACGTTTTTGCTATCTAAATTTTTGTTTTTGTTTCGGATTTTTAGCTAAATTGTATGTTGAAAACGTAGTTTTTACATATACAAAAACCACGTTTTTGGAGACATTTTAGGCTAAAAGTTCGAAATGTAGACAAAAAATTTAGATAGTAATATGGCAGCGTGAAGTTTCTCATATCAGAGTAGTTCCAATTTAAAAAATAGTATATTTTAATATGCATAAATTCTGTGTTTATTATTTTGGGAAATCTCAGATAGGTGGCACTTGGCGCAATTTTTACCGCCATTTTGAATCACGAAAAATCGCCAAATCCTTGAAGGAATTTTTTGATGCCAAGAGGGAAATGCCATCACAAGGAACTTGGAAAAATTCCTTCTTCAGTCCAATATTGGTGAAAAAAGCTCTGCTTGGCAAAAATTGCGTAAGGCAAAGTGTAGCCTCTGAGAAGGTAAACCATACACATACAACAAATTGTACACGATTTGTTATTGTTGTAAATAAGCAAATTTATGTACTTTTGTCATCTTAGTATTTTATATTATGATATCTAACTCCAGCATTACTAACTTTTATACTTCTCTTTTTTAGTTCTTATCATTAATTTGAACAATTATCCATAATAATTGTTATATATGTTTGAAAGCATGTTCTTTTATATAAATGCAGTAATGATCACGAAAGTGCAATATATATCACATAGATAAAGATGAAAGTTTTAAAAAATAAAATATGCATGTATTTCCACAACAGCATTTTCAAAATGTATTCCAGGCTACTAAATCATTATCCAGTTTAGTTTATATTGGACATTCCAGATTCTTTTATGCACATAATTTCACTTAATAAGGTTAAGCGGGTTATTTTTATTCTTGTTTAAGTGTGAAAATAGTTTTTCTGTAGGTAAACAGAGGAATATAATCCTCAATTGCATAACTGCAGGGAAACAAGATTTGTAACAAGAGCTTCTATGGCTTTTCACGTAATGAAACTGTTTAAATTTTGGAAAGAGAACAACCAAATAGAACAGGATAAGTTTAATTGTATTTATTCCATGAAAAGTTAAATCATAAATTATTATTTTTGTATAATTTGAACATTGTCTATAACAGTGGTTTCAAACTGGTGGACCCTGAAGCAATTTTATGCAGTCGGCGAATGTATTTCAGTTATGCATTTGTTGCAAATACAGTAATGTAACGATTCCTATGTTTTACTTATTTGAAGTTTGAGTTTGAGAAGTTTTACATTCATTACTATTAAACAAGAACATGAGTCATTTTTCAAATGTTTTTTGTTTAAATCTAAATTGTGATTCCATTTTTTTTTTTTTTTTTTTTTTAATGGTGATACTTACCAATATATGCTTAAAAGATATTAGACACTTGACAAAAATGTAAGTACTGTTTTATATATTTAATATTTAATTTTTATAAAAAACCATTAATACATTATTTTTAACAAAGGCTGAGCTTTTTTTTTATTGTCACGGATGTTTTACACCTTAATAACTATATTACATAAAATTACTTGATTTTGAAGTGTTTCAATTCAAATAAAATTTTAATATTATTAAAAGTTGGTGTGATGTTTTTATTCTATTTCTTTGCTATGAAAGGAATAATTTAATCTTACTTTAGTACTTTAAATTCGTAGTAAATGTACTTATTCACAATCGCCTGCCATCTTGAAAAACGATGTTTTACAGAAAAAATTAATACTTTATTTTCAACCATATTGGATATTTTTAAAGTTTAGAATATTTTACTATGCTTAACGGCATTTTTTAAGATAGCAGGCGAATGTAAAAACCAACAATTGCACCCAAAAAAGTCACCAAAAATCCTATGCGTCCGTTTACCAAAGTAGCGCTGGAAACTGTTACATAGCAGGAGCATCTCCTCTTCTTTACATAGCAAAAATCCCATATGCTAGGATCCAGTTATACATTTACTTCAGAGAAATCACTATCCTGAAACTTGTCCAATATAACCTACACTATTTCAAGTAATTTTAGTCTTTTATGGAGATTGTTATCTTACAGGACACACCTGTTTATAATATTCAATACCATTATTTCTTTGAAAAATTAGTCATTTTCAGTGGTGGTTATTTTAACAAATGGTTGATGTGAAAGGTTTTCATTGTAATGTACTTGGTTTTAATAATACAAAGTGAAAAAGTACGTACAAGTAAATACAAGTAAAAAAGAGATTTGATTCCATTAAAATTATGCTTTTTGTAATGTTTTTAACTAAATAAGAACAATGCTTATTCACTAACAATCTCCTTTTAAGAGGAAAGTTAGCTGCATCTACAACTTCATTCACAAATTACTACTTATTTAAATTATTGCTAGCTGTATGTATATAAAAGCTATTTTGTAGAATAACTGGAATATGTATTTCAATACAGAGTGAATTTTTATAATTTAAGCTGAACTTAACGTTATATGCTGGTAGGAAAGCAAAATTTTGCTATTTTGGGGAAATCTTCAAAATACTTTCTAATTTTGGAAAGATAATACACCTAATTATATAAATACAGCATATCAGAAACATAATAAATCTAATTATATAAATGCAACATATCAGAGAAATAAAATACTCAACGAAAAATACGACTCGTGTTATAAATTCGAAATTTATATAAATTAATAAACTTACTTGTTTCTGAACATCGGCATCGCTGAGCGACATTTTGACTGCTTTTTTTTTTTTTTTGGTTTCTAACTTATACCAAAATATTAATATTTACAATTTTAACACTCCTTCGACAGAAAGAAAACACAACAGTCATATGATAACTTTCGCTCTTCTCGTTGCCAAACGAAGAACATGAATAATATGGGTAACTCCCTTTTAGTTCTTTGTTGCCGTTAGCTTACTCCTAAACAATATCCACTTTATTCATAATAGCTGCGTAAATTTATTTAAAACTGTAATCTATCTGTAAAATCTCACAACTTTTTAGAATGAAAAAATATTAATCTAGCACAATATTTTATGCAAATCATCATTTTATGCGTTTTATATTCATCATGATTCAAGCTTTCACTTTTATTTAACTGCTAACAGTTTAAAAGAATTGAAAGAAAATTTTGCATCTTTAATATGGATATAAATTTAAGGGAAAATGATGAAAACGCATTAACTACCTTTAACTAAAGAGTACTTTTTGATAGTATTTGTCTGAAATTTCTACTACATCGTATCGAATCTAATTAAATACATACAATGACAATTAGAAATATTTGAAATGACATATTACTTTAAAGAAGCTCTGGAAATTTATTAACGATTCCACCTGTGGTTATGAAAATTACGTAAATAACTTAAGAAGCGAATTACCGTTAAGTTATCAAACTGAAAGTAAACATGGTTATGCGGCTTGTTTGTCTTCACTAAAGGTTAGTGTAATAATATGGCTTCTTGTAATTCAGTTGATAATCATCCAGAAGATAAAAGGGAAGCAAGAAGAAAACAGGTTATATATACCTATCTATATCTCTATACATTCTTTTTGGTAAAATCCTAGTATACGGTGATTTTTTTATGTATGTCTTATGAGTTGCTTCTATTTAAATGTTGTCATCACGAAGTAAACTGTTTTTTGTTTAGTAATTTGTTTATATACAGGTGATGCTTGGAGAACTCCCATCAGATTTTTTACGAGTTACACCTATTACGGCTGAGCAGCAGTTGGCTTTAGATGAGCAGGCGGCTATAGCATTGCAGCAACAGTTGTCAGGCAATACAATTGCATCAGCAGTTTCGGGTCGACTTACGATCAGCGTAATAGAGGTTCTGTTGCTTTTATTATTATTGGTTGCATTAGAAAACTTAGGAAAAGTGCAGAATCGCCCACTGCTTGGCGCGTTTTTAAGAATTGCAATACTCTCTATCCATGTACACATCAACCTGTTTTCCATCCCAGAATTGCACAAAAATGGCATTGTGCACTCCCTTGACTTTATCCATGTACACATCGACTTATTTTCACTTGCAAAGTAAAAGAAAATAGACAAAAATCCAATTCTTCTTACTCTTGTAAAAAGCGCGAAACAAATAAGTGGGCAATTCTGCACTTCAGCTGAAAACTTTTGAGCTTATACATTATGTTACAGAAGTGTTTATGAATAAGAATCCATATTCACTTTTCTTAACTGATTTTTTAACCGACCACACTTTTTGTACTATCTTAATCTTTTGTAAAATTTAATATACAGGGTGGCTCATAGTTTGTACCCATTCGTATATACACTTCAGTGGCTTAATTTGGCCATAATCTGTAAAAGAAAAGAAATCAAATTTATAGTACATACAGACATAATTGAATAACATATTACTAGGGAACCCTGCTATATTCAGAAAATGTTTTACAGAACAGATCATCTCATAATATTATGAACGATAATGCCCAACAGCACATAGGTACTCTATAGGCAATATTGATTAATTGATTATATTATCTCCTAAGTTTAATTAAAGTAGAATTATTTTAAAAGAGTGAATCCATACTGGTAAGTTATATTTTGAAAGATCCGGACATCCAATATCTGGAATGATCTAAAATCCGGACCTCAAAACCAGCACCAACCAATTTTTTAGGGCTTTTTTGAAGGGAAGGGGTATGCTTTACGCACGCACATTAGATTTTTTCCCTCATCATAAAAAAACATGCCGGAAATCCCGATTCTTAATCTCAGTTTGGCGCTAAATAAAATATCTCATTATTGAAGAAATAATTATTTTAGCATAAATTTGTGTGATTAGTAACTTGACTCCATAGCTGCGTATCTGCTTGGCATAATCTCAAACCGAAACATTTGTTAATTTTACACCAACTAATATTTTATATCCTTGATGCTGAAATCGCGAATCATTATTTATTGTATTTTGCTTTCATCACGGCATGTGTATCAACGGATGACAACTTGAGTGATGAATCATGCAGCGACGCCAAATAACAGAGTATTATCCAATTAGAGATTTAAGTTTAATGCGCTAAAATGTTGACAAGGGGAGATTTAGCAGAATTTTCTTTCCTTATGCTAAAAATAGATTTTGTTAATGATACTCATAGGACAAATGATTATATTTAATGCTATTTGAATTAAGAATAACTGATTTGTTATTCACATAAAGCCAGAACCAGCGCCAGAGCTCGCATGGCCGCACCAGGCGGCAGAATTTAGCGAAGTTAAACAGAAGTTTTTCATTGCTATGACAATGCCCAATCATCAATCAATTAACGGAGGGCGAAATCTGTAGTATGGTTCTAAATCCAGAAAATACAGCTACCGATAGTGAGAAAGTAACAGAGAGGTTACTGAATGAGAAAAAATTTTGATTGACAAGTTATTCGGAATTCTCGACACAGCAATTACAGGACTTGAACAATGGAACTTAATAACTGAACAAGAAATTATATGTCTATAGTATTAGTCTAAAGTATTAGCAGAGAAAACAAATCAAACAACTCACATTGAAAGAAATGTTTAATAAAGTAAACATATAAATGTTAAGCTCTTTTCTTTTGTAAATTTTGATACCCTTTAAATCATAAATGCTTCATTATTTCATAAATCACGATTTCATATTTTCAATTTTATAATTTCTACATGCCATCTTAGTAGATTTAAAATGATCTAATATCTGGAAAAATCGCCGAAGTCCCAATGAGACAGGAACAGGGAAGAGTGGACGGAGCACCAGAACTTCGTCAGTGACTTTTACAGGTGTTGCTCCGCCGCACTACTGTACCCCGCTGGGCTTTTAGTTGGCCCGCATTGGATGCTAGCCTACCAAGACATTTACATAGTAATTTTACATTAATATTAGACTTACGTATTGAATATACAATTACAAAGACATAGTATACAATTATTGCAAAGAAATTAACCTATCAACAAAAGTTGGATTATGGCAGATTGAAATAACATAATTACTTCGAACATACATACAACTTTCATTGTACATTGTACTTCATACAAACAATATATTTACATTAGTATATCTAGTTACATCGAATTAAAATAAACATCATTTTAAGGAGCTAATTGAAGATTTTTTTTTTTTTTTTTTTGGTGCATTTTATCATACTTAGTTGAATTACTAAGGCGAATTCTCTTATTAATACATTTCCTTTCATTTTTTTTAACTTGTTACACACAAATGCATCAGCACTGAAGTCTTACATTATTATTTTTGTAAATTAATGTATCATAAATACAGAAAATATACATTAGAAAATCACATAATACTTACATTTACACTAATATATTAATAGAGTCGTATATTATTTACATTATTTTTTAATTAATGATTTAATTATTACACTAATACAGTCCAAATTCTTAATGTAACTATTTTATAAAAACTATTTATACCATATTTAGCCTGTTTCAGACACTTGCAATATTTCTGAAATCTTGCATTATTTTTGCAAGTTGTAGAATAAGAGGTATTTATACAGATGTGATAGCATCTTGACATATGTCTTCTCTTTTATATGCAAAAAGTTTCTTCATAATCAAGGAAACCTTTTGTTGTAATTGAGGTATCGTTAGCATGCATTTAATGTACTCAGGCGTAATTTGTGATCTTCCTTTGCAGTGTAGCTCTTTTGTGAGCTGGCACTTGAAAATATAGTGCTCTGGGTCTCCCTTTTTCCCCACATACGCACTTGTCTGATTCGCTCAAATTTCTCAAATTTCGTGCAAAGTAGTATGTGGGGGAAAGGACCATGTCCAGATAAGAATATGTTGATGAAGAAGTTATAAGAGATTGGATCATATGTGGGTTTCTTGTAGAAGTTGAAAAGCCTTCTACCTACTTCTGCATTTTCCCATTCAGTTTGCCATTTTTTTAATGTAATTTTTTTCAACATATGTTTCACATACGATTTAGGGAATGGGACATTGATTGGAGGTAGAGATGGGTCTTGAGCTGCATTTTTAGCAAGCGCATCTGCCCTTTCATTTTGGGCTTGTCCAGCATGCGCTTTTACCCACTTTATTTTTATAGATGTTCTCTTGCACTATGATAATAAATCGTAGATATCTTGCACTATTGATGATTTGTTTCTTGCATCATTGACAGCTTTAATTGCCGCTTGGCTATCACTGTAGATGGTAACATATGTTAGATGCTTTTGATGAGACCATAGAATAGCGTGTTTTATGGCTGAAAGCTCAGCTTGGAAAACGCTGTTGTTGTTCCTTAGGTGTCCTTTCCATTCTGTTGTTTCTTGTTCTGAGAGGAGTGCAAAGAACGCGCATCCTACTTCTTCGTTTAACTTTGACCCATCTGTGTACACGACTGGAAATAAAGGTACACTGAGGGTGTCTTCTTTTGTAGATATTCTGAGTTTTGCATGTACTGCAGGGTGTCTTAGGTAAGGATTTCGTGGCTGTTCAAAATCAAGGGGGCACAGGTTTTGATCTTCTACCTCTATGTTTTTCTTGAGGTGGAATAACGTGGCTAAGTCTGCATCTTCTTTTGCTTTCAGGTGGAGGGGTGGGATTCCTGTTAATACACAGAGAGCTGCCGTTGAGGTAGTTCTGTATGCTTTTGCTATTTGTAAGAGGAAGGGGCGTTGGATCGAAGCTAAGAGTCTTTTCTTTTTCACTGTCATAGGGTGAGTCCATGCTGATGCCCCGTAGAGGATTATTTTTTCGATCACGGTATTATAGAGAATGTTTTGCATCCTCGACTTGAGGCCCCACGTTGTGCCTTGCATCCTTGCGAGGGCTCTAGAAATAGTTTGGGTCTTCTTCCGAATTTCCATGAGGTGTGGGATCCAAGAAAACTTTTGGTCAATTTTCAATCCAAGGAATTTGATTTCTTTTGAGATCTTGATTCTTCTATTATTGATTTTAATGCAAGGTAGCCTTTGTAGCGATTTGCCCGGTTTTGGAAATAAAATAATATGTGATTTGGGCTCTGAAATTATTAGTTTTTGATTGACGCAGAGGGAATGGAATATATGGAGAGAGTCTCGTTACTATTCTTTTCTAGTATGTCTCTTGAATGCCCATTTGTTACAAAGGCCACATCGTCGGCAAAGGCGATGAGCTTTGTATGGGTCCGGTCCACTTGTAGGAGGTGATATAATTGAAGGTGATGTTCCACAGGTCTGCACTTAGACAAGAGCCCTGTGGACAGCCCCTCGTTATTCTTCTTTCTACTATACAGTTGTTGTTGATGATTATCGTTGCTCTGTTTGTTAGGAAACTATTCATTAGCTTGAATATGTTCCGAGGGCATTTAATGTTGCGCAAGGCTTCAAGGATACCAGGCCACCACACGGAGTCAAACGCATTTTTGAGATCCATGCAGAGTACTGCTGTATGGAGAGCTGAAGATTTATTCCTACGGATCTGCTCTTGAAGTTCTACTATCGCATGTGATGTAGATTTGAGAGGTCTGAAGCCGTATTGGTTGGGGCTTATGGTTTCGTTTTTCTCTAAGTGGTGGCGTAATCTGCCCGCGATTGCACGTTCCAGAAGTTTACCTATTGCAGGTAAGAGGTTGATTGGTCTGAAGGCTTCCGGATCCGTAGGATCTTTATTATTTTTCTTGAATAGTATTGTTTGTCCCTGTTTGAGACAATTCGGGAAGACATAAAATTTGAGGCAGAGGTTTAGTAGTTTGTGGAACAGAAAAGGCATTGCGTGGTGAATTATCTTAATAATCCTGTTGTCTAATCCGTCAGGTCCCGGAGCTTTATTATTCGGAAGATACTTAATAATTTTTGAAATTTCTTGTGAGTGGTGGAATTCCACATCGTCTGGAGTATTTGGAGCGGTATTATTGTATCTAATGTCGGAATGTGAGTGGCCATCGTC